CATATTTATGGAAGTTCAAACTTCAAACAGACTTGTGGGATCTTTCTTAGGGCGTAATAACAAATTCATAACCAAAATCCTTTAGTGATTTATGGTTCATTTGTCTCTTGTGAATTCATACTCAAATTCATCACCCCGACTAGATCCATTATTTCTAATAGTAGGCAGGACACTACCCCACTATTTCTTGATTTAAAATGGAAGTTTATTGGCATCAATGGATTTCACAACAACATGAGTATTTCGTTTCATAGGAACTATGTGTTTTTATTGTTGACAACATAAAACACACTCATATGCTCTTCTAGTTATCACTACACTGGTTTGTTAACTCTACCACAAGCATGCGATATATTGAATAATCAGTTCAATCAGAAACAATACAATTAAGCATTTCTCAAGCTATTTCAAATTAGCATCTCCAATAACTTAGACAAAACACTTTATAGAGCAATAAAAAAATTTATTGTCTTTCCACCTTGTTTACCCATATTAAAATAAATCAGATCTATCGATTCTGATTCTCTAGCCACATAATAACCCATTCTATTCCCATATATTCTTCACACACTTTTGTAACAAAATTACTCTATTCCACAACATGTATTCTATTTATACTCTAATCATCGAGGTAATACTTCTCAATGTCGACATATACATGCATCAATCCTAGTTTTACTTTCTCATATTCATCTAGTTTCTCAATACCATGCATAAAACTCAATGGAATAGATTCTCATTATCATATATTAATGACCCGAGAGAAAGAATTTAGGTTTACCTCTTTTCCAAAATTCATAGCCTTCTGACTAGAGGTGGCAAACGGATTGATCCATGGATCGGTGGATTGGATTGGTGGATTCATGGATCAAATGGATTGGATCCAATGGATTGGTGGATTCATGGATTGGATCAAGTGGATTGGTGGATTATCCATGAATCCAAATGACATCCTCAACCAAGGACCAATATGTAAAACGTGAAAAGTTTAGGTACTAAAATGTCATAATAAAAAATTTTAGGTACCAAAACTTAATTTTCCAATGATATTTTTCGCATAAAAAATTAAATTTTGGGTACCAAATAATAAAAAGTATAGGTACCAAACCATAATTTGTCATTTGGATCCATGGATCAATCCATGAATCCACCAATCCAATTGAATTTGGATCAAATGGATTGAATTTAAATGGGGTTAATTGCATCACATACCATTTAAATATTGCTTTTGTTGCATACTAACCACTTAACATTTTTTAGTTGCAACTAAATCACATAAGTCTACTTTCGATTGCACCATCATATTTTCCGTCCATAAACTTAACAGTGGGTATGTTATGGTAATTTTCCGTGTCATGCGAGCATTCCAGCTCAACTTGGTTGCTGAGTCATATAAGGGGCCACCAAGTTTTCAATGGCCCACATCTGATTATCTGAAGATTTCTTTTCCGAGCAACGGTTGATCATTCCGTCTTCCTTTCCCCTTGCTTCCGACACTATATTTGACAAAATGATCTCATTCCCAGCCAAATATCCAAGAAATTTTGCTTCGTGGTTTCCTGTACTCAACAAAACATGCAGCTGTATCACTGGTTCATTATTTTCATTCTCCCTCTACTATCGATTGCATGGTTACCTCAAAATTTTTGTTCTTTACTATTTGACTCATGCATATACATTACTAGCTGAATTAGGTTGCTCTTTAAGTATCATGGTTAGGAGTTGTCGGTATCAGCTAGGATTAATGATTTTGGTGGAAGCTTTTGTTCGATAAATCATGGATTTTTTAGCTCCCCTGAGTCGAACTTCGTGCAGGGGATTGTTTTTTCTCTTCTGGCTTCATTGTTGCGGGTTGGAATTTTATAAAATTGAGAGCTGCTGGTTTTTCCCTTTTCTTTTAGTAAGATCAATTTAATCAGCAGATTCTCGAGCTACTAAGTAGTTAAATTCATTAAAGTTTGTAATAGTATTATCTCATAGTTATTTCATGGGTGAAAGCCAGAAAGTGTTAGATAATAAGCACTCGTGGTGTGTCACGCGAGCTTTAACAGTGTGTTGTCGTTTGAGAGTTAGTCGTGGTTGCAAAACAGGAATTAGAGGTTAGTAAATTAGATTGTTAGTCGGTTCAGATGCTGTGAGTGTTTTAGTTGGTAGAGTCAAGTTGAGGGTTTGTTTGATCAGTTGGCTACTCTTAAGGGTTGTGAGATTGTGGGGTTAGAGAGTGGGCTAGTTGGAAGCTTTGCTAGATTGTATTTATGTTCTGTCTTTCGCTTTCAATAAACAATCTCTTAGTTTGCTTTCTATTGAGTTTAACATATATGTCAAGAACCAGTTGATCCCAATAATTCGAGTTGTTGGGAGATGTTCAATCGTAGATCGTACACCGTTTATTAACAAGAAGTATCTCCAAATCTATAGATAGTGGACGTTTTTGGTTGGTATGATTAGTAGTTAATTGACTTAACAATTGTTATATATTATCTTAAAGAAGAACTTTAAATCAACAACTTACCTGTATGGCTGTATCCCCCAACGCTGTTTATGAACGTTGGAATGAATGGGGTATATGGACTATGGACTGTATATAAGTTTTCAATGGCAGCAAAGGAGGGCTGCTGGTGTGGGTGAGATGGGTGGAAAGGAAAAGAAATACCCGAGGAGAGAAGGAATGTTAATGGAGATAAGAGGAGGAAAAGAAGGAAAATAGGAAATTTTTTAACCAAGCAGTCAGGCCGAGTTGGAATGCTGATTTGGTACTAAAAATTGTAATTTGGTATCCGCCGTTAAGTTTGTGGATGGAAAATGCGACGGTGCAACTATAAATCGACGTTTGTGGTTTAGTTGCAACTAAAAAAATATAAGTGGTTAGTATACAACAAAAGTAATATTTAAGTGGTATTTGATGCAATTAAACCATTTAAATGGATTGGATTAGGTGGATATTTTTAATGGTTTGGTGGATTGGATTGATTGAATTGATAATTGCCACTTTACTTCTGACTCGAAGAACCCCTGGCAAAGAATCCGCTCAAACATTCACTTCCGCAGGCGTAAACATTATTTTGCTCGGCAACAATTAACAAACCCACTGTACCCACGAGGCAACTGCCACCGGGCCCATCATGAAGTAATGTTGCGAAGTCTCCAATGGGCCTAGCCCAATGATTTTTATACGTGAACCCTATTCCTTAACGCTTTTCCCAGCCGGCCCGGCTGCAGCAGAGTCTGTTCTCTCGGCTCGGGCATCGAATAAAGAAGGCGTTGGTGGTGATGGGTCCGTCATGTGCGCCGAGTGTGCAATTTCTCTTCTACGTTGTAATATATTATCTACGTTGGCTCTTCTTTTATTTCCGGGTAGCCTTCTGTGGGAGTCCATCTTTGTTGAGATGGCAATAGGTCAGGTTGGGTCGGGTTTTGCCAAACCAAAACCCAAATCCATGGATTTATTCGTGAAAAAAACCCGAGGTAAAATCCATTGGGTTTGAAAAACTCAAACCCAACCCAACCCGCTGGGTATTCGCGGATTCATGGGTACCCATGGGTTTTGTCATAAAAATTTTACAATAACAAGTTCCTATCAAAATTAAAGTCAAATATCAATCTCTCAAGACAAATTATAAATAAAATAAATAAAACACCATTCTAGAAAATTCAAGCAAATCACCAATTAACTATACAAATTGTTCAACACCAATCTAGAAAACTCAAGAAAATTGAAGCAAATTACAAATTATCCATAAATAACATGATTAATTGAAAACTTCTTCCTCCTTGTCAATTAAGTTTTTTCACTTTCCACTCAATAACATCAACTTCATTCTACACAATTAGAAAGAAAAAATTATACATGTCTCCACAAACATAAATAAGATTAGTTGTTTATAATATTAAATATACCAAGAAAATTAATTATATGGGTGTGGGCGGGTACCCATGGGGCAGGTTTAACTAAACCCAAACTCAACCCAATAAATAGTGAACGGGTTTAAACTCAGACCCGACCCAAAACCCGTCAACACGGATTTTACCCACGTTGACCGGGTTAGATTGGGTGAGTACCCGTAAATTCGAATTTTGTTGCCGTCCTACATCCTTCCCAGGGAATAAAGTCCATCTGTGGGAATAAAGCTAGCGAACAACCTCAATTTGTTCCAATGGACAAAGTCCATCCTTCGCAGGGAATAAATCCCTTCAATTCATCGAACCTTCCAATTAATCACTTCTGGACGGAAACTAAGGACGGATCCCAATCTGCTTTCCCAGAGGCGAGACAGTACATCGTACGAGGGCTTCTTCGACCGAGCGTCCACGACCGCCAATGAGCTCGGCGTAGCATTGGTCGGTGGAAATCCCTTGAACCAGAATCGGTATCCTGTTCGGTACATAACGACAGCAGCCAAACGTCTTAAAGTTGTTAGAAATTGAACAAAAAATTTAGGGTTACCGATCTGGCTGAGTCGCGGACTAGGTCGCTCTCTTTAAGGCGTTCGCGGCACTGCCTCGTTATTCGCACAGCAGACTATCAGCCAGTCGCCTCCAAGATAAAACAGTCATTCTAATTTTATTGCTCATCGGTTTCGTGCGAAAACCGAAACTCTATGAATTCACTCTTTTTCGTGCTTCTGCTCTTCTGAGATGATTTTAGAGGGTCTGGGGCGTCTCCTATTTATAGGAGCAGAAAACTCAGAATATTCCCTCTTTCTTTGGGAATAAGTCACATTATAATTAGGAAGATAATTACTCTCATAATTAAATATAATCTTAATTATCTCCATAGTATTTCTTTTATTAATTATCCATCTTATTTTCACGGCGAAAATACGGAATAATTAATTAGAAATTTCATTTATAGTTTCTCAAAGGTTATTCATCCCAACAAAACCAGACACGTCCAATAAATACAGATTTCAAGACCAATCAGATCAACAACGCGGAGTGGGAATCGCGAAAATAATTTTTTAATTCGTACAGGTCTATCTATCTACAAGATTCCCGGCCGGTCAGAGTTCGCCGTCGTCGGGAGAACTGGAAGAAGAAGAAGAAGACACGAACAGCTGAATCTGCTCCAGAAAGCTCAGATTCTGAGGCCGATCCTTCCTACTCACATAACCCCTCGCCTCTTTCTCGCCGTACACCCAATACCCTCTCTTCCCGCACCTCTCCCACATCTCCGCCGCGTAGCTTCTCACCGCAAAATACGCCTCCACCACACATGCGGTGGTTTCCTCTCCTCCTCCGCCGTCAATGGGGTCCACTCTGATCGGCAGCCGCTCGTAGTGGCCGCGCGCCGTACCCTCGAGCTCGTCCAGGCGGGCGAGTCCTCGGGCGGAGACGGCGTACAGCTCGCCGGAGACTCGGGCGGAGCCGGCGGCGCGGGGGAGGTTGAGAAGGAATGGCACGCGGTAGGGCCCGCAGACGAGAGGGTAGGGTTCGACGGTGCGGCAATTGCATCGGAAGGCCGCGTCGTCTGTGCGCATCAGATCTTGCATCAGGCCATGATTGGAGAATCCCTTCTTCAGAGTGCCGTATGTGAAGATCAGCGTCGCCACCGCCGCCGGACTGTGGTTCTCGATCCCCATTTTTGCCGGTGAGAGGGAGGGAGAGAGAGAGAAGACTCGCTACTAAAGGTCGTTAGAGTGCTAGACGAAGAACCAATGGAAACATTCTTTCCCTTTTATATTGGGGGGAAAATGGGAATCATTCTTAAACACACAAATAGGGACCAATTCCAATCAAAAGAATCAAACCCCAATCCCTAGTTCTTTGAAATCGGAACCAGAAACCCCAAGGGCCGATCGGATCAGTACCGTTCCACTTCCATACCCTTTTTAATTCCTCGAGCTCCCTTCGTTCTGCAAAAGATGCCGATAGTGCTGCTCGCGGTGACGGTTCACCACATGGGTTTGTTCTTCGGGACCCTGTGGGGGCTTCAGGAGCTCCGATTCGCCGCCATTTTTGAAGCAGTGCGCTCTGCCGCCTCCTGCTTCACCAGAGCTGTCGTCTGTTGCGTCATGTCATTTCACAGACGCCGGAGATCCCGAGATTCTGCCGTCGCGGCTTTCATTTGACCTGGATACTACTTCTTTGTGTTTTGCTTTCTTCTTCATATATAATCCTCTGTTGCTTCGTTCTGCAATTGTTTGTTCCTCTTTGTATCATCAACAATTAACCATATGCACAAAAGCACTCTCCTTATACGGGATAAGGGGGAAAGAAAGGTAATTCCAGTCAGCCAGCCGGCAGGCGTTCTGGTGGCGGGGAGACTTCAGAAGCGTAGCTCAGAGTCCGGCGATCGAGTTGAAAGTCAAGATCTTGTTTGGATAAACCGTGAGCTTCAAACCCTGAGAGTTCGATTTTCATGGCGGGTCCTTGCCCCACTGACAGTGAGAATTTCTCAAGTAAAAACGATGTTCCATTAACCTTGACTATCTATTCTTCACTTTTTTTTTTTTGACAGTGATCTATTCTTCACTTTGATGGCACCACTTTTAGACTGTTAGCAATGCAGAGCTCTGTTCTCGTTCTTCAGAGTGATTTGACAAAAGAGAACTTTGTATAATTTAAGAAAATTCAGGGCCCTAAATGTGAGTACCCTTCTTTTTCTTTTGCCTTTTTTCTCAGCAATTTTCTGTATATCATACATTATACAAGTGTGAGGAGACGTGGGAAACAAACACAAAACGAGGATGAGAAATCCTTGCCCCAAAAAGAAAGAAAAACAAACAGTGTCGTATCTGTTTCTGTCATGGTTAAGCCGGCGGTTGTGATGGTCAGGATTTATCTCGACTTCGATGAGGGATCACTGGTTGTAGGAATGACCACAATCAGCATTCATTTCCTGTGCCGCTTCTGAGAATCCCTCACAGTGGGCAACAATCTTGACACCGAAAACGGGCATCCGAAGAACAGCAGAATGTTCTTGCAGTCTTTCTCGACAACCTCGTCCGTAGCAGTCCTTTGAGCGCTTAAATGGCTTAGATAAGTCTTCCCTTCGTATATGTAAGACAGCTGCTGCCAGAGAAGCACACTAAGCCCTATCTGCACTGATATACCGGCAAAGAAGAGATACACCAGAACAAGCCCTCTTGCTGTCAGAAGCAAAGCTGAGTTCAGCAGGGCTAGGAAACTCTCTGTCAATGTTCTCCAAGCTACATCACTGTTTATCCCACTCAATGGATCTAGGGGTTGTCGGTATGTTAATGGCGGCCAAATCTGGGAACCTACATAAGCTGACATGAATGCAACGTATAACATGCTGGCCACTGCTGAGATGAGGAACAAGATGAAGTGCCGGTGATTTGCTGCACCAACGCAGTTTCCTATCTGTAGAAACAACATATATAGATGTGCCAGTTAGGATTCAGCATTAAGAGGACTAAATATGTCAAGAAAATAGAACAAGCTGAAGCTGCAAGATTTCGACAAGAAAACAGAGCAGATCCTAAACAAGCCGGATTTGAGGGCCCCTAAGCTGCAAGATCCGGGAGTTGTCAAAATATCAGATTTGTGAAATGCGCATCCACTTGCAGTAAGCTGTGCTGTATAAATATTTGCTAACCAACATTTGGGATCACAATATAGCACTTCCCAGCCAGAACTCCTAGTAACCGGCAAAGGGAAAAGCCACCGCAACCAATTTAACCCATTAACCATGTTTTGATACACAATCGAACCTCACTGAACTCATAAAATCACACTTGTATTTAAACCTGTTTTCATCCTCTTCTCCTATCCAGGAAGGCGCAGGTTCTCTAAAGCACAGTTCAGTGGCAACTTCCAAACATAAAGATGGATAAGTTATCATAGTATTGAAGGACAATTACATATGAAGCTTAATTGCAAGAGTCCAACTTGTTTCTTAATCAGAAAAATGACTTACAAAAGGGCAGTGATGATCCATGTCTAGGATACAGAATCCACAAGAGCGACAATGATGACTCCTCGGTGATTTGGGCTTTAAACAATCATGACAGAAGGTATAGTTCTCAAGGTGACCTTTCCCAACAACTGGATAGCTCCCCCACTGTATGATAGGTGGTGTGCCAGCACACCCAAAGGAAGCAAGGGCGAATGTCGAAAGAGTGCTCAGAGACAAGACAGCAGCTATAAACGAGTGAAGAACGCCAGCAAATAGGCTGTTGTCGAAAAGAATTGGAAGCACAGCCCACAGGCCACCACCTACATTGTCAAACGAGAGAGGAACATCAAATACAAATGAAAGTAGACAACCTTAAGCAACAAGCAATTGGGGGGTTGGGGGAGATTATCATTGGTGAAGTACAAAACCAAACTAGCACAGTATATCTGGAACAGTTACAAAAACAGGATTTCTCATATGAAGGAAACATGGGTGAGACGTACCTATTACTAAGAGCATGAAGCCAAGAAGGACAAATACGAAGCATCGGTCTCTCAGGCGTTTCCACCAGAACCATTTGTTTTCACGCTTTTTATCGTTTTGGTTCGTCACTGCTCCACACCAACCACACTTGAACACAGGTGCATTGGATGGAAGAATTAGGCGTAAACCGCAGCCCCAACAAGTCGTCTCATGATCCTCCGAGACTGTAGCCACAAATTGCTCCTGCATTACCAAGAGGAAGAGAAAAAATTGGCATTCCTTTATGTTTCAGCACAATACCATCACAGGTAATATGTGTTTCCCCATTTGAAAGAATAATCCATCGAACGACTAGGTCCTCAAAAAATTCAAACATGAAACTTGAACCATGTGCACCCTCCTAGTTTCAATAATCTTCCTCAAATACCAACCCAACTGCAGCTTACGGACTATTTGCAGCAATGATCAATCTCAGCTTTAGCCAAACCCAGTTTCATCTCTTATAAACAATTCAGCTTCTACCATTCTGTCTAACTAAAAGCTTTTGACCAATACGAATTCCATCCTGAGTCAATGAATTTCGAATCACAACATAAATAACAAAATATGGAAACCCATTAAACTTTCCTCCAATCGATTATTGCCAAAGGTGAGAGTAATATATCAATCCCATCAAACCCATTGCAGACAAGACTAAATACGTATTCGAGGTCAAGCTACGCAGAGTTCTTTACAAGAGGCGAGGAATTCAAAACGGAAGCAAACTTTGTGATCAGTTTTCTACAGGGCAGAGAACACAGCAACGATAGGAAGCAATTGAAGATGGAGAAACGGGAAAGATTGAGGACTGACCTTGTCTTCGGAGTCGGCCATGGTGAGACGGGGCCTTGGCCGGCTTCGTTATCTCAGATGTGATCGGACAGAGACGGAAGAAGAGCCTTGAGCCTTCTTCCCTTCCTCCATTCCCCCTGACGCCTGTTTCTCCATTGCTCTCCTCGTTTTCTTATCATTTTTAATATTTTTTTGTTTGCCTATTTCCCCTTAATTTTCCTTGTCCTTATGTTTTATCGGAATATTTGATTTAATTTTATCAGTATATAATGTAGACAAGCGACACATTTAAATTTTGGATACTTTACCGTTTTCACCAAAAATTATCTTAATTAATAAATTAACAATAGGTTAAATGATATCATCATTGAGTTAATCATTTTGTTTTACATTTGTCATTAATTATTTTTTGTTGCACTAGTATAGTATTCCCCAACTTTACATCTATATGCAAACAGTACAACTATAAAAGGGTTAATCGAGTTGGCAAGAATACAGAACCTTCGTTTGAATTAGAGAACATAATTTGAACCCATCTCATTAAATATTATCCGACCTAGCCAGCGACGACGATTTGCTGAGAGGTTTAATCAAGTTGGCAAGAATACAAAACCTTTGTTTGAGTTAGGGCACATAATTTGAACCATTCCTGCCAGATATTGTCCAACCTAACTAGCGATGTGGCTGATATTCGACCGTCCTAGTCGAACCAGGCTCCGGTTCTCCACAGTTACATTACACTGATTACAACTCACAACGGGAGAGTATCAATCAAGATGGACGACTTCCAGTTTCGAAAGGTTAAAAGGCAGAATTCTATAGCCTTGCCTTAGACAGGATCCACCACCAGGAAGAAGACCATATAGTTCAAGCACTAATCCAATTGTATTTAAAATAATTAGGGCAATACAACAGCTATGACCGCTATTCAAATGCAGCAAATTAAGATGATAAATACCAAAAAGATTTGACTTCAAAACAGATAAGAGGGTTTTCGTAGCAAGCACTTTAGAAAGGTGAAAATGAGAGTGCTCTACTTGGTGGGTTTCTTCCCCTTGGCCTGGAAAGGGATGAATGACTTTCCACCCAAGTAGGGTCTCAGAACTTCTGGGACCTCAACCCCGTCTTCCTTCTGGTAATTCTCAAGGATGCAGCATAGTGTCCTCTCGGTAGCCGTCAGGGTCGAGTTCAACAGGTGAGCATATTGCTTCGCTGCCTCGTTTCCCTGCAGCATTATCATAGACTAGTCTCAGTGCTTCATAACCGAATCAACTACCTGCTAAATCATAAAGTTTATAGGGGGTAGACAAGATCAAGTCGAAAATAAGACACAGAGGATGGCGGCACATACCTTTTTCTGCCCGTATCGGATTTCCAATCTTCTCGATTGGTAATCGGTACAATTGGAACAGGACACCAACTCCCTGTATGTTTTTGAAGCAGGAAACCATGCTTCAAGATCATACTTCTTTGCAGCAGCATCATTCAAGGCGCCAGAAACTATTGCAATTACTTGATACGGCAAGTTCAGCTGTAAGGAATAAAGGAGTGTAGCTATCAACATTAGCTTCTCAATGTGCCGAAGTCAATACGCAATATATGATAGGACTATGTACATTTTTGGAAAGAAAGAGAGTACCGATTTGTAAAAATCCTCTGAATTCTTGATCATTTCCTCATGCATGTCCCATGAGTCGGTGCCATTGGGGCTAGTAACACAGAACTGCTCCACTTTCTCAAACTGATGAACTCGGAAAATTCCTAAAGTATCACGGCCATGAGAACCAGCTTCTTTCCGGAAGCATGATGAGTATCCAGCATATCTGGCAAAGCACACTAAACTAGTTAGAGCAAAATTCATTCTGGTATTTCTTCCACAAATAGTACTAGTGTGCTTTGCAATTATACCTGATTGGTAGATCAGTGGGCTGAATCCAATCATCTATGTGATACGCACATAGTGGTTGTTCAGCAGTAGCAATTAAATACTTATCATCACCCTCTCCAGTCACCTATTCAATATGAAGTACATAGTTCAGCACAAAAGAACTGGCATATGCTCATATAACAAGTGCATATTTACACGCCTTTTGAATGTTATATATTTCACAAAGCTTTGCAATGGTACCTTATATAGTTCTTCATCAAACTGGGCCAACTGAGCGCACTTGGCCATGACATCCTTTCTCATGAAAAATGGAGTCTGCAATGCTGTGTACCCTCTCTTGTCCAAGAAATCTAAACCGTAGTTAATCAGCGCCTGATTTAGACGGACACCATCACCTTTGAGGTAGAAGCCTCGACCTCCAGCTATGTTGGCTCCTGCTCATTTTAAAAAGAAGAAGATGACTAACAAACAAACATGCTAAAGAAGGCCAAATCAACCTCAAATTCAGAAATATTTTCAACATTCTAGATAAAAGAAATGAACAACTGTATAACATCACACTAAGCACCTTAATTCAGGATGGAAGGTACAAACTAAGAAGGTATGAAAATGAGACTACAGGATGACCAAAATTCAACGGGCAGAAAATGGGATGATAAAATTCAACAATAGAAACCAAAAATAACCACTGAGACTTGGAGGCATACAAAATTAGAAAACGAACTAATAAAAACACCATCACAGCAAAGCACCTTTCTTTGTGTCAGCAATCCCAAGAAGTTCCACGAGGTCAACATGATTTTTCAACTTCTGCTCCGTGCGCTTCTCTCCCCAAACCCTAATGACAGCATTATTTGCCTGCAAAACCCAAGAGTAGAAAACAAAAACAAAGGTTAGCAGTGGTCTCGGGCAACATTCCGTAAACTAAACTCAGATTGGCAATTGGGTTCAGCATCAAAATCCTGCTCACCTCATCCTTGCTAATAGGTACGGAATCATGGATAAGGTTCCCAACAGTTTCGAGTTTTGCATACAATGCCTTCTTGTCGGCCTGCACCTCATCCTCTTTTACTGCCATTTGTTGCTTGTGTTCCTCAATGCTCTTCATAAGTTCAGTTACATCTAGATTGTCCTGATTCTCAATAAAATTAACAGCCAACAAGTTTTGAGAAACCAATAAACATAACTGCCGATACAGAGACAGAAAACAAAGAGGAACAAACACAAATGCCTCACCTTCTTATGCTGGTAAACTTGTTTGTTCATCTTGTTAAAATCCTTCCTCATGTTATCAAGCTGGAATTGACCTGAAAAAACATAGGTCCAGAACCAGTGTGAGTAGTAACAGCACAAATAGGATCGAAAATACACCGGAAAAAACGAACGAAAGAGAGGGGACATCCTAATTTACTTACATTGTCTCCATTTCTTGTCGAGCTCAATAATCTCATCAACAATCTCAACACTAGCGAATCGGCGGCGCTGTGATTCCCTGATGAGTTCCGGGTTGTTCCCCTTATCTTCCCTAAACAGATTAATGTCCAACATCCTTCTTGCTCCCTTATGCAAAAACCCACGAAAAATTCCACTCTCGTTAAATTAAGTCCCCAAAGCTCACCCCTTCCGAGTTACACAAAAAAAATCGGACTCCTAGTCATGCCAAGAGAAGTATGATTTATTCAGATCGTACGCCATTGAAAGGGGGCAGCAACAGGGGATAAGAGAGCAGAAGAAAAGCTCATTTACTCATCAGCTAATTATGCTTAAAAGGCCAAAAGACGATGCTTTCGGGGGAACTCAAAGAGTGAAAGTTTCGTACCTCGACTGGTTGGAAGAGGTGAAGAAGATGAAGTTCAGCCGCTGACGGGAGAGATGAAGCTGCCGGGGTTAAGCTATGAGCGAAAGGAGGGTTTAAGGGCGAGACGGACTGTATTCTTCTTCTGCCAGCGTTGTTTTCCTTTGGTCGGTAAAGGATTTTGCGGCGGACTTGTGAGGGAGGGAGATTGCCCTTTCTGCGAAGATAGCTGGGCCGGGCCGGGCCGGGCGGGCCTTCCTGCCTAATCAATGAGGGTTTAGTGGGCGGACCTTCAAAGCCCGACTAATTAAGGATAGGGATGGCAATTTCGACCTGGCCCGATTTATCCGACCTGTTTGACTTGTTTTGGGTGGGTCTGACCTGCCCCATAGGCGGGGCGGGGCGGGAATGGGTACCTCTCATCGACCCGACCTGCCCTGACTCGCCCCATTCTCGACCCGTTCTGGCCTAATTTACATGTAATTTAGTCAAATTAGTTAGGATTTTCCTCTTATTACATCATATTTTAGATATAATAAAGTTGTAAATAAGTGAAAAACTCAATTTCTCCAATAATTTAACTATATTTTATCAAATTACGGTTTCTTTCTTGGTCTTTTAATTAAAATAATGAATAATTATAATGTTTTTTGCATAAATTATATACCCAATGGGTCGACCTACCCCAACCCGCGCCCTATGATAAATTACCCGACCCGGACCCGACCTGCCACCGGGGGGGGGGGGGGGAGTATGGGTATCGAGCTACCCGTCCCGGACCTGCCCCATTGCCATTCCTAATTAAGGGTTTTCTGGCAATCCAAGTATCCAACTAATTAAGGTTAGTCCGCCGAGAGCGGATCTGGTGACTAAGGGTGCTTAGTCACTTGATTAAGTAAGTCACTGCCTCTTAGTTCTGGACACATCAATTTGACGGTTAAAAACTTAAAATGTGGGAAAGACTTTCTAATTAATGACAAGGATAGTTTGGGTATTATGAAAAATTACGAAGTATAAAAACCGGACTTACAAACACACAAACATACGAACAATACAAACTAGAGCGACAAAACATACGAACTATACAAACAATACAAACTAGACCGACAAACATTACAGAACATACTAACAGTACAAAATGTCACTACTTACAATACAAAACAGTAAACTTGTATTACAAATAAATGAATACAAAGTATACAAATCACAACATAAGGTATACAAACTAGACAAACAAACATTACAAATTACAATGTATACAAATTTGTCATATAAACATTACAAACATAATAGATAAAAATGACAAACTAGAATGATAAACGATACAAACCGAATTGATACAAAATAACAAAGCATACTTACAAACATTACAAAATCATCAGACAAACATAACAAAACAGACGCTGATGACGAAAACCCCTCTCTCTCTAAGTCCCATCCACCCAGATGACGGGACGTCGAAATCCAACAGGGGAAAAGCCCGCCGGAAAGCCAGCAGCCGCCGAAGGTGACGTCAATTAGTAATTAAATTAATATGCAATTACTACATTAGCCTTCATTAAATGAGATCAATTACAACCATTAGATTTTAATGAAGCTCAATGGCTGAGATTGACTTAGTCATGTGACTAAGAAACCCCTAGTCACCTAATCTTAGCCCCTTAATGAGCCTAAACTATTTGATTGATTCTTCGATAAGGACAGATTTAACAGTTGATTGATTCTCCGTCTAATATTTAATTAGGGTTTATGCATCATATCATATCCGCATTTTTGACCTTCTACGAATGCTATTTATAATTGTCATTTGTAGGTTAAAATCGTTAATAAACCGATAGGCCATTAACACAACCAAAGGTTCGTTTAAAATCGTTAATAAACCGATAGGCCATTAACACAACCAAAGGTTCGTTTTCATTTTTACGGTTTATTCTGACCAAAATTGAAACCGTTAAGTGCTTATCAGTTCCGGTTTTGGGACAATGGCTACTTCAGATTTCAGTTTCTAATGATTTTTTAGTTAGGTTAACTGAATCGAACTGCCACCTCTACTGCGTTACGGCTAAACCCAAAAGAAAATGTTATGGTTTATGTCACGAAAATGATTCTTCTAAACTATAACCTTCTCGTGAACAAACAGAAACTGGGTTTACGACAGCCAATCCAGATGCTCAATGCCCTTCTCGTGAACATCCCAGGAACCCACCGCGATCTCGTTGAACAGCTGTTCCCAGCTCCAGCTCGAAAACCCCAGGAAGAACCAGTAATCCGATACTTCACGATCTCCTGATCTGATCGCTTCGATTTCTTCGACAGTGCTCTGCTGATCGAGAAAGTAGACCCCCGGAGCAACCTCAGGCCAGTGTGGATGACCATCTCTAGGTCCTCCTGCTCTTGTTAAAGCGACAAATGGCAGTCCGGATCTCACGAGTGGACCACCAAATGAAAGAGGAGCCTGTTTCAGCACTTCCTTCAACCCTTCTTCCAGGCTGGGGACGGCCTCCCACCGTAGGGGCTTGTTGTACATTAGGCCCTGAAAGTATCCTGCACCCTCGTCGGCTGCAACTATGATCACTCGTGAGTCGTCGAATGGCTGGGAAGTGATCTTTGACGTGGCGGAGAGGATTGTGCCGATGACCACATGGGGAGGGGCAGAATTGCTGGAATGCCTGGAAGTGTGTGATTCAGTCTCACTATAGGCTGCGGCTTCTTCTGGTGCTTGGTGTTTCAATATGACCTCCTGGGACTCGACATAGGCATCCTTGTCATGAAGTTTGGTTGTTGCTGATGAATCCTTGCCTGACTGCTGAACTTTGCGTCCTTTTCTGGCTGCGCTCCTTAAAATTCCTAGAAGAACAAGGCAAAAGAAGATGGATGTGAGGGGTATAATTCAATGAACTGAGAGGGGGGCTGTTATATAGTGGCGTCAAAAGAAGAATACCGGTCTCACTGGTTAGATGCTCCGAATTGCTGCCATGGTTAACTATGAACTCAATGATATCATTCACTGTTGCATCTCCTTCATACGGGACAGCCACTTTACTTTTTGCAGGAAACAACAAAAGAGTGGGATAGACGTCTCTCTGGATATAAGAAAGACACAGAGAAAAGAAACACAATACTCACATAACAGTGTCCAAATCTGATATGCAGCATTTTAATCCAAATGAAGGAAGAGTTGAAGAATGTAATGTGGAACATTAACATACCATGCCCACTGATCTCAAGGTCAAACTGCAGTCATTCAATGTGCAGTCCATTAAGAAGACTTTTGGAAACTTCGTCTCAGATGCTGCACAACAAGATAAGAAGTCGGTCATCATGACGCTTAACAAATAACAACCATAAGCACACATGTTTTACTTTCCTTCAATTTATCTGGAAACCCGAACTTAGATAGAAGTTATATACAATTTCTAGTGCACTTACTGTCACTGAGAATTGTGTCTTTGGCCGTAGATCCCATCTTCAACACATTCATACATCCTTTTATGCCCCGAAAAACTTCACGAACAACCAAATTCATTCTCTGGCAGAATCCACACCAGTTGTTGCTAAAAAGGACCAACACATCTTCATTCCAGGAGGCACCAACCGCATTCTCACCGTCAGATTGATTGAAACCAATGACCATTTCATGGAACCTGTGAACTGTAACCCGAGGGATAGAGTCTACCTCATGGAAATTTTGATTAACAAAAGGCGGGTGGGAACCTTCCCTAGGGCTTGCAGGTTCAGACTCAGACAGTTGGAAGGGGAAAAGACTCCCATTCAGGAACCTGTTAACAAAACTTTCTGCCGAGGCATAGCTGAAATCTATATTTCCAGGAAGCACATAGTGTTGGTGTGAAACAGGATCAATAATTACTAAGGAAGGAATTCTAGTCTCCCCAGTCAAGGCCTCTAGCAACCTGTAGTTCCCATCAGAAAATGAAAAAGAACCAGGGAAATTCTCAACTTCTTGCTGTTCTTCCGCCAACGAGTCCAAATTGAGAGACTGTTCCTCCTCTAATTTTATGCCTTTCAATTCTGATATTCCAACATCTGAGACAAGTTGATCAAGTTTTGTAGGCTGTTCGGATGTGAGAAGATAAGTTGGCCTCTCCTCGCCATGAGAAGATTCCACATCACTTGATGTTTCCTCAATACTGAAAGCTGAAACCTCATCCCCTTCTAGTTTTATGCCTTCTTGTGCTGACATTCCAACATCTGATACAAGTCGATCAAGTCTTATAGGCTTGTCAGATGTGAACAGATAGGCTGGGTTCTCCTCAAAATGAGAATGTTCGGCGTCACTCGATGGTTCCTCATTACTTAAAACTGAAACCTCATTCAGATTGATTAATGTTCTGATGGGACTGTCCTGAGAAGATTTTGATGAATCTTGGTTTGCGTCTGCCTGACCCTCTGAAGGCAATGAGTCAGCTGTCTTAATGCTGAGATCCTGAGACAGCAGTTGGAAACCAGCCTCTTTTGCAACTGAGCTCAGTGTTGCCTCCTTCTTCTGCTGAAGGACATACTTTATTATCTCTTGCAACGATTTGCCTTGCAAATCTACCTGCAAGTTTTCCAAACTACCATGGTTAGCATCATTTAAGACCATGATTGACATCTTCTCTCTTCGTTTCATTTTCTGCACTGTTGGAGACAGCTTCAATGCAGGATGGCCTGATGATGGAACGTGCAGTTTTTGAAGTCCTCGGTTGGACAATCTTTCGGACCTCTCATTCGTTTGATAGCTCATGTTATCTGAAACTTTAATATGAAATGATAGGTCTCTGAACTGTTGAAGAGCTTCCCGACTCTTTCTTCTGATTTCTGATGAATCAGATAACCTATCCACAAAGAGGAGCACTGATGGCTTATTTGTTGGTAATGCAGGATCAACATCCTCCCCATTGCCTTCCAGCTAAAAGAACACGAAGGAGGTAAAGCAGATTAGTAGTTTAGAGCGACTTTGGGTTGATTTAACCATAAGAAAAAATGGATCTGAACTGGAAGTAGCAATCACTACAACTACAAAGGTGTAAAAACACCATCACGTACATTATGTACATCTACACGGAATTATGCAGGGAGAATCCATGGAGGCCCCTCCACTGTCATTCAAAGACAAACTCTAAACAGAAAAACATCATACTGAAATGGCCAAAAGGGGAAACAATGTGGAGTTACCTCAGTAACAATACACTTTTCTGACTGCAGGATACTCGCAAGGTCATCATTGTCCCTCAGGATCCTTGAACAACTTTGGCATCCATTGTAAGAAAGCATCACAACCCAGGAACCCGAGTCTCCAATACCAAGAGAGGAAAGCAACGATCGTTCTGAAACAAGACCGAATCTATGCTTTTCGAGAGGCAGAAAGTACTCTCTTGCCACAGCCATGAACTTTGAGAAGAATGCATCGAACTTTTGAAACTGCTCATAGGTACAAGTCAATCCAGTTCCTGATCTCGCATTCTCAGCATCCCAGTACTCATCCTCCTGGTGAGTAAGGCTGTCATTTCCAGAGCTGAATTCTCCAATTGAAGGAATTCCGGTGAATGCACTTTCGCTACCACATGTCAACGCTGCCTTCTCTTCACCTGCATTGATAGGTAAGTAATCAACCTCACAAATGGTTAGCAATCTCTTTTCCACTTGACTAGTGAACTGAACAACCTAGGATAGCCAATTAGAAACTACCAGCCACCTTCTGGTTTTCCTTTCCTAGGGAGATAGGTAGTTTCTCACTTTCTCCATTTGCGCCAGCAAAATCCCCTGAAGCAAGGACATGGTAGCCATCATCAATTGACACAACTGAGGTCATCTATTCTCTTATTCAGGCTCCATCAAAGTAATCTAAGGACGTCACATTGAACTTCTAACTGGCAACAAATGGAATGAGCCAACATCTCATCCTTTTTATCCCCTTGGGGGAAAATTCACCAGGCAATCAGAACCCAAAGCTTTCAACAGAGACGACAACGGAAATGACTAACCTTGCAATCGCAAACCACTACGAGTAGTCTCGTTCTTATTACCGCCGGCCAGCAACTTACGCGTCCATCCACAGAACTCCATGAGAAGCACTGCCTTATCTGTTGATCCAGCGAACGTCCGCAGCTCATCCTCCGTCTTCAGCTCCGTGATAGGAATTTCTTCAGGATCAGGCAACAAATAGGGACGAATCGAGCGCAGAACATTCCCTGCTCGAAGCCTGCCTTGATACTTGTAAGGCACGGAGTGATGGAGATAGAAGACCGTCACTCTTCCCTCCACGGCACCAATCGCATCGGCGAGCATCTTCTCCTTGTTCCTCTGCAGATACATCAACTCGAGGCTGCCGAATTCGTCCGGCTTTCCGGCGACTAAATCGGCTATTTCCCGCATCAAGGACCTCGATTCGCCGGACCATGGAACGGAGACGAGCAGGAGGATTTTGGGATGGATTCTGATCTGAGAAGAGTAATTGTGCCTGTCGAGAACATGCCATCTCTCAAGGCGGTCCTGATCGCGGTCGAAGGCCGACGACTGAGATGATGCGGCGGCGGCGATGAAAACGGCGGATAGAACTGAAAGCAGTCCCACCAGTTTCTGCCTCATCAGCAGAAACCACTATGACTGTAATTCTAAAACTGTAGACGGAGATCGAATTGCTTGGTGACTGACTGGCTAGGTCATGCGCGTCAGTTCAGTTCAGCTCAGCTCAATCGAGTACATGGCGGCACGGGAACAGTCGAACAGAGGCTACTGATTGCGACTTGGATAGACGGGCAGAAGAACAACAGATGAAGATGGAGCGAGTGAGTGAGCTTCCCTCAACGGCAAGGTTGTCAAACCGGTTTATGCCAGTGTGCCGGTTTAGCAAGTGGAATGGTTCAACCGGTGGCACATATCGGTTTGTGCCGGTTCATGCCGGTCAATATTATAAATAAAATTATAAATACTCATATTTAAACATGACATTTAACGTCAATACCTAAACATTTATATTTGAATCCTACAAATAACATCAATATTTAACTTTTATACTCATAAAATAAATAATAAAATAATTTTTATCAATTAAATTCTCTAAAATAAGGTAATTTTACTTAGAGATTCGTATATCGATCATGCCGGTCATACCGGTGGTGTCACGCCGGTTTTATGACCGGTACCGGTTGAACCCGGTATAACCGGTGGCACGCCGGCCGGCGTGACAACCATGCTCAACGGGGATTATAATTTATTAATTTGGGTGGGATAATTAACGTTATGGCTCCTGTACTCTGCTTCATTTGCAAATAAGACTCATTAGTTGTTGATATTGGACCTTTTGTTTTGTCGGAAAAAATCTCAGAATACTCTAAATATTAAAAAAAAATCCCCAAATACAATACTTATAAACTTATTTCCCAAACTACAGCAGTTTCAACATCACTGTTGTAGACCAAGACAATGATTGCAATCACCGCTTTTGTTTAAAATGGTGAGAGCATCACCGCTTTTAACAACAACAGTGACGCATCACCGTTTTGGACAAAAACAGTGATGCAATCTCCGCTCTTGTTAAAAGCGGTGATTGTCTGACCGTTGATTTGAGAAACGGTGAAGCAACTATCACCGTTGATGGGGAAAACGGTGAAATGGGCGCGGATCGCTGACGTGGTCGAGCGCAGGCACTTCACAGCCAAAGAGAAAAGCGGTGATAGCCCCGCCCCGCCACGTCATCAATCCGCGTCGTCCGCGCCCTTCACCGCTGCCGTTCGATGCGGTGAGGCGCGGATTGTGGTTTTTCTCCACGATCCGACGCCTCACGCGTCGCCACGTCAGCGATCCGCGCATCACTGCCTTCGTCAATGGCGGTGAATTCACTGCTTTCGACGAAGGCGGTGATTGGCTGAGTGAAATTTCCAGCGCCCCCTTCCCCCTATAAATACCACTCCCCCCCCCCCCCCCCCCTCATTCCAAACCACACCACCATTTTATACTTCTTTCTCCATCCATTACTTCACTCTAGTTTCGTTCTAAGTATGCTCTGTGGTTGCGGCTAAGTCCGATCTTCCGCATCAGAAAGAATTACTAGAGTTTTTGTTTTGTCGATACTCTCGCTAGCTTTTCGGCAAAAAATGGACGAAGAGGCTTTGAGAGTACATAAATTAATTTTATTCTTTTGTGATTTTTTTTACACGGGTGCTAAAATTTAAATTGATTTTATTTAATATTTTTTTATAGATGGGTGCTGAGATATACGACCCTCGATTGTATATCGATCCTGGCCCAAGGGATCGAAGGTATTTAACCGGGCAAGATCAACATCGCTCCCGTTCAATTTGGAACAATAATCCGGTAGACACACTAAAATTATTTCAATAGTTTTAAAGTTTTTATTTTGCTTTCTATTGACTGACAATATTGTGTTTTTTGTTTTGTAGGAATCACTTATTCCCATCAGTCATCGAGGGACATGTCGATTGCCTCGTTGGCATCCTCGACTGGATCCCTATCTAGAGAGAACGAGATTGCACATGCTGAGGCACTTTATGAGGCTTGATATTGACAACGATCTGCTGACGGCAATGGCAGAGCGATGGCGCCCTGAGCTGCATACCTTCCACTTTCCCGAGGGTGAAATGACGATCACCCTCAAAGATGTTGCCATCCTCACCGGGCTCCCGATCACCGGAGATGCCATCATCGACAACTAGAGAAAACCAGAAGATGGTTGGGGGCCATTGATTCAACAACGTTTGGGGTTCAACATGCCGACCACCACGCCCGTCGAAGGTCAGGGGCATCCACCACCGAATGCGGGGCAAGTATCGATCCCGTGGCTTGTTGACCACATCCAGTTGGAGGTTAATATAGGCCCGGATACTCCTGAAGATCAGGTGGAGCGGTATGCACGTGTCTACCTAATTGGCTTGGTTGGTGGATTTCTGTTCCCCGACAAGTCAAACCAGTGGATACAAGGCATGTGGTTAAATATGCTCCTCGGTGACTGGGACGAGATCGGGAAAAAAAGTTGGGGGTCGGCCGTCTTGGCTGGGATCTACCGAGAGTTGTGTACTTGCTCGAAGTTGGGAGCGAAACAAGCTGGTGGTGCGATGTTCATACTCCAGCTCTGGGCATGGGAGCATCTTCCGTTTCTCACACCTCGAGACCCTCGGGAATTCTGGTTGCCAGATGATGAGCTACGATTTGTAGCAAATCCCCCATATGGTTTCAAGTAAGTTCAATTTAAGTTGAATTTATTTTAGATATGCAATGGTAGCTAGTTAGGTGAATTTAGATCTATTCCAAGTAAGCGAATTTAGTGACATTTTAAGTATGCAATTATAGTATTTTAGTGAACTTAGCTATCTTCCAACTAAGCGAATTTAGAGACATTTTAAGTCTGCAATTATAGTATTTTAGTGAATTTAGATATCTTCCAAGTAAGCAAATTTAGATTTATTCTAACAAAATCGTATTTAGCTAATTTAGATTATTGCCAAGTAAGGAATTTTAGTTCAATTTAGATGCTTCCATACAATCATACTTAACAAGTAAACATCTATGCTTTAAAAATTGCTTATATACGTACTTTTGCTTAATTAGGTGGATCGGAGCAAATACAAACGACCACCAGCCCGAGCACTCTTTACTGTTTTATCGTGCTGAATTTGATAAGCCTTGGTGGAACCAGGTAAAAATATAAAATTTCATGATTTTCAATTTTTTAGGTGGAGTGGATCTAATTTTTACTAATTCCATGAATTATAATGATTGTAGGCGGTATGGGATCCATATCCAAATGAAGTGGTTGAGTTGCATCGTCTTAGACATCCCGAGGATCAAGAGACATGGTTGTGCAAGGTGCCCTTAATCTGCTGGCACATGGTGGAATGGCACCTGCCCGATCGATCTTTGAGGCAATATCGATTGGAGCAACCAATTCCAGCATCCCCCAGCATAACCATCATCGTCTTCTTGGTCATGCGAAGTACGCCCAGATCGAAGGGTGTTCTCAATGTCAGCCCACTCTGGACCCCAAGCAGGTCATTGATCACCGTCGGGCTGAATGATATCAACGGCAGTCTCAGCATGTTGCGGGTATTCTTCCCACCCAACACCTCCTTCAGAACTACTTCCTCCGTAGTTGCTTGAAGTACCATCCCAGCCATACCCTCCTGCAGAAGTACCTCCTTCGTAGTTACTTGAACTACCACCCCAGCCATACCCTCCTGCAAAACCATCATCACAAGAATACTGGTGAGAATGAGTTTCACCGACCGGCTCCGTCTCGACATACACCTCTGCAAGCCGCACCCCGTTGTCAGATAGGAACTGTATCATCATGTTCACCGAGTCATCATCATTTATGACAACTTTTTCGTACATGATTCCGTCAACACTCATGTTTGGATAGCGGTAAGCAATTTGACCAACTCTCCTTTGCCCGCCCGTGCAAGTCCTTTATGCACAAATGTCATGGAGTTCTTGCCACGAGAATCTCGACTCAATTTTTAGCATAGTGGATTCGCCATTTTCATAGTCGATCCAATGTTCGAGTTTGTCAAACGATCATTCCACCGAATAATAAGCCGAAACTTCTTAAATTTACCCATGTGTGCAATTTATAATAATTAAGTATAGTATATAATTAGTACATTAGGATACAAAAACAATATCATCCAAACCCATAAACAAACGCATGTAATTGATCTATCATGAGAAAACTAAGCAAATTCATCTAAATTCATAACTAATTAACTAACATCTATCATATCATAATTAATCTAAATATATCATAACATATTTTCCAATAACCGCAATTCACTAAATACAGACATATAATTACTAACACATCAACATGTAAAAAATACATACTTATAACATACTGAATCCCAATCTATCATGAGAAAACTAAACAAATTCATCTAAATTCAGTACTAACTAACATCTATCATATCATTATTAATCTAAATATATCATAACATATTTTCCAATAACCGCAATTCACTAAATACAGACATATAATTACTTACACATCAAAATGTAAACAATACATAATTCTAACATACCGAATCCCGACGAGTTTCTTGAGCAGTAAACCAACTCCAAACCAGCTGAGAAAACGACTAAAAAAACACTAATTTTTGTACTAATTTGCTGTAAGGCAGCAGGAGGGAAGTGGGCGTCGGAATTTATAGAAAAAAATGACCGCTAATCACCGCTGTGGACAATGGCGGTGAACACATCACCGCTTTTGTCCAAAGCGGTGATAGCTAGGTCGCTGTGACCTAATTTTCCACCTACCAGGGCTCTAAAACGTGGTCAATTATCACCGTTTTGGTCGACGACGATGATGTTATCACCGTTTCTCAGAAAAGCGGTGAGGCGATCAATTATCACCATTTTGGTCGACGGCGATGATGTAATCATCGTTTCTCAGAAAAGCGGTGAGGCGATCACCATTTTGGACTGCAACGCTGATTACTTCCCTGTTGTGGTCCAAGGCGGTGATGTGTTCCCCGTTGTGGTCAAAAGCGGGGATACCTTCCCCGTTTTGAACTAAAGCGGTGATCAATATCACTGTCGAAGACAAAGACAGTGATGTTGAAACTGCTGTATTTTGGGAAATAAGTTTGTAAATATTGTATTTGGGAAATTTTTTTCAATAATTAGAGTATTCTGAGATTTTCCCCTTTTGTCCATTGTATTGTATTTTGATTCACTATCGCTCAGGTTGTTTACCTCACGGTTTATTATGAAAAATTAGGAATCAATAGCACAGTTTGTTCCGAACGATTTGTTTTATGATTTGCATTATAATAAGATGTTTTTATGTAT